TTTTTTTTTTTTTTTGGACAGGGTCTTGCTCTGTCACCTAGGGTGGAGTGTAATGGCGCAATTACAGGTCATTGTAGCCTCGAACTCCTTAGACTCAAGGGATCTTCCTGCCTTTGCCTCCCAAGTAGCTGGGATTACAGGCATATGCCACCATGCCTAGCTAACTTTTATGCATTTTTCATATATTTTGTAGAGACAGAGGCCTCGCTATGTTGCCCAGGCTCGTCTGGAACTCCTGGCCTCAAACAATCCTCCCACCTGGGCATCCCAAAGCGCTGAGATTACAAGTATGAGCCAATGTGCCTTCTGGCCTTTTTCTCCTTTAGAAGCGAACATTTTTCTTTTTCTCTTTTTTTTTAATTTTTGCTATATCACATTTTAAAAACTGAGCACAATTCTGTTTCATCTCTTTCTAGTAAACTATAAGAATACAAACAGTTTCACCTACTGAAGTCAATTCATTAGTACAAATTCCAACTATAACTATTGCCATTAATACCACAGGGACGATATAATGACAGTATTTGGACTCTAGTTGAGGAGGTATACCTTAATTTTTACTGCTTCTCACCTTCCTTTGAAAATTCATGATTATTTGATGGCAATTCAAACCCTTCCTTTTAATTACCCACTGAAATGACAAAAGGAATAGAAAAGGAATTGCATTTCACAGCATAGCTATAACTAGATGGACAGTTCACAAATTTACTCTGACCTTTGCTGTGTAGTAAAGAAGGATGTTAGCAGGCAGGTCAGCCATGTCAGACTCTTGAGACTTCCAAGGGCTTAAACAATTTGGACCTGAAAATTATTTACACATATATATATACATTATTGAATACATATGGTCTCCTTGATTCTGTGTTACCAGAATACAATTTAAAATTAAGCTGTTTCAAGCTACTCAAACAACACAGTTGAAACTCATTAAGTTAAAATTTACTTTGTTTTTATATTACTTCCAATTTATCCAAAACCTATAAAAATTGGGTAATAAATCAATTTCTATTACAGAAAAAATTTTTATATAGTATTAAAAACTACTATCGGCCAGGTACACTGGCTCAGGCCTGTAATCCCAGCACTTTGGGAGGCTGAGGCAGGGGGATCACTTGAGCTCAGGAGTTTGAGATCAGCCTGGGCAACAAGGAAAGACACTATTTCTACAAAAAATATATAAAAAATTAGCCAGAGGTGGTGGCATGTACCTGTAGTCCCAGCTACTCAGGAGGTGGGAGGATCACTGAAGCCTGGGAGGTAGGGGCTGCAGTGATCTGAGATTGTGCCACTGCACTCCAGCCTCAGCAGGAGATTGAGATACTGTCTCAAA